TAGAACTATGTGCTTAGCCATGCTTAATTACCACTAGCTCGGTTGATGTGTTAATTACATTATTAGACCTCTTAGTATCTAGACGAGCTGCATGCTCGAGACATCCGGCCATGTTTCATTGGTCGTAATTATCCAACTAAAATGCAACTGAATGGTGGGCTGTGGGTACATGGTTTTGCTAGTCGCACCATGGCAATTAAGGACCGGTTCACGGGAAACTCTGGAAGACTAACAGTGCTTACCACAGGCGGGAATGGGTAACTACTTGACTTGCAGTATAGCTCGACCCTTTCCTAGGCACCGGTGGCGAGGGGTGGGCGTGATGGAGTTGGGTCGGCCGGAGTGTCAGGTGTTGACGGTCGTTATCGACCAGTTTCGACCGTCAATATTACCCAATTAATGAAGACTAGCTATGCTTGCAATGTATAATTTTCAAATAAAATATCTACTTCCACTATGTGCTGTGCTACTTACATATATGCAGGATAAGTATTTATAAACGGAGGAGAATCGACAGACAATAGACGAACGATCAATCAGACACTGTCGAGAACTAGACTTATCGATAGATGGGCTGAGAACTCAGAGATGACATGATCCAATAGGCCCAAAATTCACTGTTCTAGATAAGAGAGGAGCTAAGGGGGCCACCTGCCGAAAATAGGCCAGAATGGCCCAGCTCCCCTCTAAGCTCCGATGGATTCAGGGTTTCTTATGGACGGTGGAGATTCACTCCCTATGACAGTTGGAGGGTGTTTCCGACCTTTCCAACCGTCATAAGTTGCCTATTTAAGGAGCTCCCCTCACTCCCTCCAACACACACCTCAAGAAGAAGATCAAGAGCTCTCTCAAGTGTTGTTTAGTAGTTCTAGTGCTAGTGGAGTAGGAAATAGAATAGTCTTCATAGTCCTCGAGTCTTCAGGAGATTCCGGTATGGCTTTAATAGCATTCATTTCTTCTTTTGTAAGACTTATTGAATTAATAGAATATTCTTCTTTATACAAGTTCGGTATTTTATTCCATTCATATTATTTGAGTGTCGACTTTACTTTATACTTGAATCAATAGTCATGTATCTAGCTTTCCAGATAGGTGTATTGGTTTGGGTTTAGTGTCCAATTATTCGGTTGCTCTATGTCGGTTGCAAGGACGTAGAGTAGTATTTAGTAATGTAAGCGCGGTGCTTAGATTATTAGATACCATTAATTGGGGTTATATGCTGCGGATGAGAGGTGGGCCGCTGATGGTGACAGCTCAGTACGGGTATTCCCCGCGCGTGTATATAGTCTTAAGTTAATTCCCTGAGGAGGGTACTCCTCCGTATTTAGCCCCGGTTATACGGTCATGACGGGTTGTCGTAAGGAACTTGGCAGTCAGGGGTAGCTTCTCGAAACACCAGGACACTGGGTACGGGGTATTAGTTTCATGACTGTATACTAAAGATGTATGTATACTAGAAGTACAGTAATGATACTTTTCTTATTCTTTCTCCACTTAGCTTAGACTATATTTTAGTGAGATGTATGTATACTAGAAGTACAGTAATGATACTTTTCTTATTCTTTCTCCACTTAGCTTAGACTATATTTTAGTGAGAGTAGTTCTTAGTTCTGTCTTCTGTGTGTCACCCTACCTTTGAACTGAATTAACCATTGCATAGACTTTGACGTATATAAGTAATATATAAACTATTAGCATAGTACGCTCTTATCATATCTTCCCTTGGGATAAAATAAATACGATACCTTGGAATACTTCCGGGTGAAATACTTGCGGATTACATATGTGACCATAATATACTAGGATTATTTCTAGTGCTATTGCTGGGAATTATATTTCCAGTAGTGTCGCTAAGAAATACCAACATCCGGTTGTCCAGCTGCCGGATTCACCGTAGCACACGAGGGGACTGCCCACCTCCGGGGTAGGGGGTGGGGGTGAAACCTTATCGTGGTGTGGCAGTTGGTGGCGGTCGGTGGCGGTCGGCGACAAGACTTCCTGAAGGTCTTGGGAGATGGAGTCGTACAGCTATCTGAGGACGACGCAATCCATCTGCACCCACTCGGCTAGGTCGGGGCGAGGAGCATCGCAGAGAACGTGGTCCGTCAAGGCATATTTGCCGAGAACCACGAGAAAGAGACCACGCCATCGAGCGTAGTTGCCGGCGGCGATGTCCAGGGTCACGAGCACCAGCGCCTTCACGTTCAGAACAACGACGGCTTGGGAGCGGAGCGCGGAACGCGCGTTGTCGTCGAGGACAGGAGCCGGCGGCGCGTCGTTGGAGGACGCAGCCGGTGCGGCGCCTTGTGGTACGCCGGGAATGTTGTGGGCGAGCCGGGCGAAGAGCGCCGCCAGCTCGGGTGAGAGCGCCGGCGGGGTCGGTGCGACAGACGCAGGAGCGGCATCCCCGGCAGGTGGAGGTGAGGTGGCGGCGGGCACCGTGGAGAGCGCCGGCAGATGCTAGTTGAGGGCAGCACGAGCAGCGGTGGAAGCCCTGTCAACGGCGGAGTCGGCGACTGTCTTGGTAAGGGTGTCATTGACCATCGAGCCGGGCGGGGCTTGGTAGGCCGCGCGGACGGCGTCGGCGACGGACGCGGCAACAGCGTTGACAAAGGACTCCGGCGAGAAGGGGGAGGAAGACGTCGTCATGGCAGCGTCAGTAGGGTTAGGGTTAGTGCGGAAGCGGTAGAACGAAGCAATTTGATACCATGAGAGTGGAATAGACTCAACGCAATGATTAGATTGATATCGGTGCGGAGTATATATAGACACGAGACCTTTCTTATATACTCAACCGGTTTATAAAAACAGAACCGAGAGAGATATGGATAGGTCGGCATAAGGAAACCACTGTAACACGAGATATATCTAACAGATGCGATCGATGACTAGCAGCGGCTGAGCCGAAGTAGATCGACTTGACGTCGGTGATGTCCTTCTGGTGGTCTTCGGCTTCGGGGAAGTGGAGATAGGGCTTCGTGTCCTCGTTGCGATGCCGTAGGAGGAAACGGCGCTGACCGACGACAACCGAGGCAGCGGCTAGCAGCAGCTGGAGCAGCGGCCGGCAGCGGAGAGAAAGACACGCGGGGAGGCGCACACAACGGCTTAGTGAAAAAGGGGAAACGGAAGAGTAGACCTCGGCATCCGCGGAGGAGGAAGATACCGGCTCGGGAAAGATAGGATTTGGCTATGGAAAATTAGGGTTTATCCGAGTTCACCGGAATATAGAAATGGGATTTCCTTTTTTTGACTTGTTGGGGAAAAAGAAGAGGATATCAAGAGGATTCCATTTCCGCATTGGAAGGGGAGCAATGTTAGCAGCCGGCTTTGGAAGGGGAGGCGACGCTGCAGGGCTGCAGGCTGCAACGCACGACAGCTGCGGCTCGGTAGGGGATGACATGGTGGGCCCCACCTGACAGTTACGAAGGAAGCAGGGCGGAGAGAGGTGATACAGACTTCAGGAAAGATGGGCCAGCTGGAGAGGAAGGCGAAGTGAACTTCGCCGGATAGGAGGCAGCGTGCGGGATAAAGAGAGGGAAGTACATCAGACTTATCCAGAATTGGCGCAGATTTACAAGAGGGTTTTTAATTACTTTTTCATTTAATTTAATCACTGAAATGATCTTTGCATTTTAAAAAATACTTCCAATGCTCAAGTAATTCTAAAAAAAATCCTGAAACTACTTGGACACTCAAATTATTTTTCTAAAAAATATTTAGATCAGTTAATGATTAATTTTGTTTAAATAATTGCTGAAATATTCTTTGTATTATTAAAATTAATAACCAAGCTCTGAAAAATCTGAGAAAATTTCATAGAATATAATTAATCATGTATAATTTAATAAGTATTAAATCCAGCCTTTTTTATTTAGAAAAATGTATTTCCCACATTAACTTAACTTGTAAATTAATGAATATTTAATATAAATTCTAGAAATAATTTATTAATCCCTGAAACTAATATCAGGGTGTGGCAATGCTGAACACTTATCTGAAATTCTCCTCTCAGCTCTCTTTGCAGGAGGAACAACGGATGGAAGGACTCAATAGGAGAAGAGAAGTCACTACTAATGGGAGCAAGTGCTATATTGATGCGGCTTGGGACAATGGATCAACTAGAGTAGGAAATTTTTTTCAAATGCCTGTTACTCATAATGCTATTTTTATCAAAGCCACTAGCAAAGTGGTTCAATCTCCTTTACAGGCTGAATTGGTAGGTATGCAACTAACTATGGAGGTGGCTACTTTTCTAAATCTTGCAGGAACCATCTTTCTCACGGATAATGCGACAATCGCTGACACAGCTAAAATGAAGAATTTTGATGCGTGAGAAAGATGGTTACGCAAAATTCCTTAGATGTGGTGAATTGGAGCCTTAAGAATGAAGGAAATCAATAGAATGACGAAGGAAGCTGTATCCTTAGATGTGGTGAATTCAGTCTACAATCGTCAAAACATCCCCCACCTTGCCTATCCTAGTAACGAATGTTACGCAAATGTTCTGAAAAATCGTTTCAGGACACCAATCAACAAGGGACAGAGCAAGAGATAAAGATCATTTCAGGACACCAATCAACAAGGACAGAGCAAGAGACAAAGGGATTGGCAATGGCATTCTACCAAAGATTTCGCCGCCAGCTTCTCCGGAATGCTGAGTGCAGGCTTCGCTGCGCCACCATTTATGATTTATATAGTGCCTTAATACGACCGGGCCATAAAGAACCAAAGAGAAACAATAAGCCAAGGACATCCTAAACCCTCCCGCGTCGAGCAAAAATACACCCGAAGGCCCAGAAACCGAGAGATGAATAACACATGCTACTGCAAGTACGGTAGCAAAGTACGGCCAAATTTAGCTCTAAACTTTTTCTTCAAACTTCCAATTTTTCCATCACATTAAAATTTTCCTACACACACAAACTTTTAACTTTTCCATCACATCGTTCCAATTTCAACCAAACTTTCAATTTTAGCGTGAAATAAACACACCATGTAAGTAATGTCAATCTCACCAAGCAAAGTACGTAAATATGACCAAAAGTTTGCATTACAATCAGCAATACTCCCTGTGCTACAAATCTACAATCCGGGAAACCACCGCCCGGAGATCTCATCTTTGACCATATCACAGCTGTGGCACCCATCGGACTTCCCAGGATTCAGCACAGTTCAAAGACAAACAAAAGTAAATGTCATACTAACACACTTTTTAAGCGACGGTTAATCAAAACACGTAGTCTTTAAGTTAATCAGAAATTGCCTGATCTGTTAAACTCTTATCAGCAAAGAGGTATTGCTCCTACGTTACAGCATACTCTTAAAAACCAGAATTAGAATTACCCAGAATGAGAACTACAGTCAGTAGGGGATATCATCCAGATGGTGGCACACTGGCACAGTATCGCCTATTGCAGTAAACAAGATGCAATCGTGCAAAATATACAAGTGGCATAAATGGCGACACACGTTTGGCAACCCATCTTCAGCTTCACTTATGGGCAAACAGCTGAGGTCAGATCTTTCTCCATCAAGGATCTTCAAACTCTGCCATTCGATTAGTCAAATACTCTACAATATTCTCATAATCAAGAATGTCATGCAGATTCAATGTAAAGTTCCAGTCCAACACAGTGTTTAGACGATCTCTGTCCGAAATATTGGGAAGAGAATCACGAAGATCAGTAAGAGATTTCTGCTGCACTCTGGTAAATTCATTGGGTTCTTGTAAAAGTAGAGAATCTTCTGGTCTAGCACCCAGCCATATAAGATCTCTAGATGCAACACAAAGTTCTCAAAAGCCCTTACTTTGCTGCCAAGTTTATAAGTATATCTGGAGCCCATCCAAGTCAAGATCAGCAAGGATATAAACTTTGACTGGCAAGCAATAATTAAGTTTAAAAACTGCACCTCTTGTTGCCATATCAGGTTTTCCACATCCAGTGATGATTATGCAATTGTGTGTGACATGAAAGTTAAGATTGACAAGCATGTTAAATATTGATAGTTTTTCAACAACAAGAACAAAGCTGACTGGTTTTTTCAACTTAATATGGTCCACCAAGTGAATGTCGTGTGGAATCTGTACAGCCCTTAAGCTTGCATCAATCATCACATCTTCTCCAACTTTGAACAGCACTGGCCCAATGATAGATCCTCTTGACATAACTGAGATATTAAGGGATAATCTGTTAGTCCCCAAGAGCATACATGCATCATTAATTCGCCGTAAAAGAGCACTCCTGGAATAATTCCCAAACTTAAATTTCTCCAGATAGCCAATAGCTCCAACGTCAATCACTTTTTTCAGCTGTAGGAGTTTTAAGATTTCAGAAAGAAGGAAGTGCATTCTAACAGCCCTATCTCTCTTCGCTTCTACATTACTGCTTGTACTAATGGTTCGAAATCTAGCTCCCCGAAGAAGACAGTACTGCCCCAAGTTGTCATCATAAAAAGGTCCATCCGTTGTAGGGAGATTAAAATGATACTCCTGTCTGGACTCATTACAATTCCGCATGGCATTCCTTATCCTCTCAGATACATCTGAACTGTCACGGTCCATACAAATGATATATTTTTCTAGGATATCCTGGTCTGAGTAACTCTTGGGCTCAAGGACCCGTGCAGCATCAATCCTAGAAACAACAATAAATTAGATATTTCATGATACTCCTATTCACAGTATACTACTACATTTCTTTTTATGGCTCCGTTGAGTTTTTGCATGATGTTTGACCTTTCATCTTATTCAAAAACTTAGTGCACACATATGTAAAAGTATAAGTTAAGATAATAGTTTATTTGAAGATAAAACAAGTCACAAGAAAGTAATTGACATTCACATAACTTTTTTTCAACAAGACAAACAGTATAGAAAAGTTAACAACGTCATTCATTTAAAAAGTCAACATTATTCATTAAAAATAGGAAGGTGCATCGAAATAAAGAGCTCTTAAACATACCAACATGACAGAGCAGCAGACGATACTTCAGGTGATAATGTTCTTTCAGTGTAATCTTTTGAAGTTGATGTAGGCACGGCATCAGATGAAGACATAGCTGTAGCAGCAAAAGCTAAAACCTCATCGAATGATTTGGCCTCTTCTTTCCTGAAAATGAAGTTCAGATTTTCAAACTCACATAAAGGCACACATATTGTCAAAATGAACTACGATACCTGTTGTAGAACAGGATATATGCTTGTGCCCCTAGGACAAAATTTTCATTTACTCTTTTCACCTGCAAATACAAGCAATGTCATTTTGACATGTGAATCAGTTTACAATATTGTCATTCACATTAAACAAAATGGTTATGAAACTTACATCTCTATCACTGACTTCATACCAACAGTTTGTTTTCACGTAACTTCTATAGTGACCCCCTATAACACCGCCTTCATGAACTATAATTCCAAACAGTTCATATATATGCTTGTCAGTTACAACACCACTCATATATGGTGAAATGTCCAGCTCCGTAGGAAAGTTAATTAGTTCTCCAATCTTTCGATAACCCTTAAAGACATATTTATTAGGTGTTAGATGGTCAATTAAGTGATTATATAACAACAAATAACAGTATTTACTTACCCCAAGTGTAAGTGGTTCAAATCTTTGCAACACAATAACAACATCTCTAGTTTCATGAAATGTACACTTACTGGTTGACTTCTGGTCATTCATACAGCTACACAAAAGAAAATATTTTATAAACAAAGAACTTACTATAAACAACTTGAACTTACTATAAACATGATGATACACGATTAAGATTCACAAATCGGAAATTTTACCTTTCACAACGGGATAATGAATCATGTACGTTTTCTTCCACAATGTGATCAAGACAATCTTCTAATGTTGCAGCAACAACTTGTTCACGATGAGGTATATTAAACATTAGCAAAGTAAAATCTTCTTCAGAATTAGAAAGCATTCCACATTTGGAACAAACCTGCACATACATTAAAACATTGCTATATGTAAAATCAGTGAAACACATGTCAAAATTGCTAAAACAACAAACATACTTTACTGCGACGGAATTTTCCACCAAACATATCTGTTAAACATCCATGTGTACCATCAAATAACTTTTGTAGTAATAACCTGGAAAAGAAAAATAATCTATAACACACAAAAATAACTGAAATGCAAACTAAAACAACAAAAGTTGAGTTAAGTTATTACAATAAGAACTCAGAAGAGTCACGATGACGTCCCAAGCCATCCTCAAAATCACCACCTAATGATCGAATATGCTTAAAGATAGTGGGAAAGAAGGCTGGTGCACCAGTTTTTCTTATCCTCTTCAGATCACGGCGCAGGTCGCAAGCGTGACAGTTTCCTAGGCCTAAAACACTACACGTTTAGTACTTAAACAAATATTTTTTTTACTAAAAAAATTGTGATTAAATCATACATTCTTCTCCAAATTGTTGTCCAAAGAGTCTTGAAACAAATGGTTCCGTGATTGCCAAACATTGGAGCACTACATTACCAAAACAGCTATACACAAAACATTAAGGACATGGAACTTAAACAAACACTGACAAAAAAGATGGAAAAAAAAGGAACAATACTTGCTTATTTTTCTCATTTTTTAAACCAACAGGTTGATGCTTCCCCTGCATCTTGACAAACCTCTCACTTTGGAGCTCCTAACAAATTTAGATAGAGCCATTTAACTTAACAACCATGCTAGCTCCTAACAAATTTAGATAGTCATTTAACTCCTAACAAATTTAGATAATCGTTTAGCTTAACAACCGAACATGGGTGGGATTAAGCAAATGTTTATGGATACCTCATCATGTTCATCCGCTAGAAGTACTTTTAATCTTAACTCTTTCTCAAAAGATCCAAGCAATAGATCATTTTCTTGACGCTGAACTAATTCTATAAACGAAATCTTGAGCCTATCACCAAAGTCAAAAACCTTGGCTTTAAAATCATCATAGAAGTTAGCATAAGTGTACACAGTCCTATCAACAGTCCATTGAGCTTCCCTGCCATTTTGGGCACCAGCAACTGAAACTGACAGAATTGTCCTAGAGAAAAAAAAAAGATATTCATTAGGGAATGATTATGCACCTTAAACAATATTTAAATAAAAAATAATAAAGCACTCACTCTTTATTTGGATCTTTTTTCAACATTTTACACCAATCTGCACATTTTTCAACATTTAGTTGTTGGACAAACACATTTCCAAAAAAAATGGCAAACACATTTCATCAGTACTTACTTCAAGTGCTTGGATCTATCCCCTGGTGTATTCTCTTTCACTTCAAGTGATTGGATCTGTCCCCTGGTGTATTTTCTTTCACTGCAGCCGCCTCATCCTCCTCACTGCAGCATCTCCTCCTCCTCCTCACTGCAGCATCTCCTCCAGCCGCTCACTGCAGCATCTCCTCCAGCCACTCACTGCAGCACCTCCTCCTCCTGCTGCTGTTCGGATTTGGACGGTGTAAGAGGGAGAGAAGAGAGAAAAGAGGGAGAGAAGAGGGGGAAGAGTGGGAGAGGGAGAGAGAGGTGGAGTTCCCAGGAAGAGATTTGGAGGGCGTGAGGGAGAGGAGAGGGGGAGAGGGAGAGAGGGAGAGAGAGGTGGAGTTCCCAGGAAGATCTGAATAGGATTTGGAGGGTGGGAGGGAGAGAAGAGAGGGAGAAGGTGAGAGAATGGAAAAAAAAAACCCTTTAATCTAACAACATAATTTGAATATGTTTTCTATACAGACTAAAACAACATGATTGTTCCACAAGAAAGCCCAAATCACATTTGTTGTATTATGTAAAGTGTTTAACCAAGTAACAGGGTGACTAATATATAGATACAAAGATTCAAAGGTAAAAAAAATTAGACTAAATCCTAATAGAATAGAGAGCACACCATTTGTAGCGATTATAACTTTAAAATATACAACCACTTTAAAAGAAGAAAATAACGGAGCAGTAAATCTGCCACCAATTCCCATATCAAATAACATGTGGTTCCTCATATGTAGTACTTATAAGTTAAAGGACAAAAACACTAGGCGAAAAAAATATCGGGTAGAAAAAAAAAACGGGAGAAAAAAAATGAATCTGTCCGATCCAAAAAAAAAGCTGGAAAAAATCGCGAGAAAGAAAAACGAAACCAACTCCGTTGACGCGGTAAAAAAAAGGTGAAAAAAAACGAATCTGTCCCATTGAAAAAAAAAAGGAATTATATGTGACGCGATTAAAAAAATGCGACCCGGTAAAAAAACAAATCAAATCCGATTCGATCGACGCGGTAAAAAAAATTTGGGCGAAAAAAACGAATCTGTCCGATTCCACAAAAATTGTAAAAACTCCCGTCCGTTTCCGTTTGGGCCGAATAGGACTTGGTTTGAATTATACTTAGTCCTATTCGGTTAGCATCACCAGGAGAACAAGTGCATATATGCATACATAGTATAAAGAATCACAGCACATAACAAAGAATCACAGGCAGCCTGATAGCACTTAGCACTGGTAAAAGGCAAAACAGCACATAACTCTCATTTAGTCCAATGTGTGCCACCGAGAGTTCTGTGCCTATGTAGTACTTAATTTTAGGGTAATTCTAATATTAAATCTATTTTCATAATAGCCAAGGAGACAAGTAAAAAAATATGCATACAGATAATTCTTATAAAATCAGAGTTCAAAATTATTGTATATCTTTCTTCTAATAATAATGATTCAGCCATTTAAATTTAGCCAACATAAACAAAAAAAATACCAATGATTCTTTTTTAGATCCAATAACAAGCTTCTACGATAATGAACATCTCATCTAACAAGTAAAAAAGGCAAGCCCAGTTTTGTTGTTGTTGTTGTTGTAGGATACAACCTTTTCTTCTTGGGTGTCAGGTCCTAATGGTTAAGTGGTGGTGGGTGGTGGCAGATGTTCGCTGCTCACCACCATCAATGAGGTATTGATTAAGACCAAGTTTAGACATTTCCTATAAAATTTTCATGCAATAAAGTGAATTTCAAGTCTTTCTCTCCAAATCACATACTAAGAAAATCAGGTCTCACAATCTTCACTTGGGCAATTTCTTGATAGAAAATAAGGCGCTAAAAACAAAAAAAATGTGAGGTCAGAATAACATATCTGTTCTTGATAAAATGGCATTTCAAAATTCAGATTTAAAAAAGGTAAAAAAACATTGTATGTACTTCGAAAATTTAGAGCCATAAAAGAAAGGATTGTATGTACTAAGAAAATTCAAATAGGGTTAAAAAACGGCATTCACAATATTAGCATACAAGCACATTAAACAGGCAATAGACCGTGAATAAACCTTGAAACATTCTACCTTCATATCCTTAGAAGGAACGACTCCACAATGGACTGAAATCTATGAAAATACATGTATTGTTTCTCAAAAGTACTATGTACTATAACTTGACAAATTGAGTAAAACAAATAAAAAATTACCAAATGTTCTGTTCTTTCGACGTGGAGGGAAAATTGTAGACACCCCGAACCGGACTTCCCTCTCATGTAGGGATAGCCGATTTCATCTCAGCTTTCTTATAAGTTCTAGACCTAGGACGGCGATGCATGGATGATGCAGAGCGCAATACCCAGCCAAAATCCTACATAAAGATGTCCCAAGCCCCTGCACGCAAACTGCCACTATAGCTAAACGTTAGAAAACACAAATAAGGAAAACTGACTGAACAAGAAATAGCAACTTACCCCCTTCATTGGAGAGGTCATGGCGACGATCTATCTGAAGAATGGATGCATGGCGACAACTTATTTTCATCGATATCATTGCCATCACCGTTATTCTATACAATATCGTAAAAAATAATTAATATTGGGAGTAGAGTCCGTGTGGAAATGCAGAAATATTTAAAATTTGGATAAAAATAATATTAAGAGAGTCTAGGTCAAAATACAATTTTGACATATCTAAAATTTGAATTAAAAAATAAATATATAGATAAGCGATTCCATGGAGAAGTATAATTTTGAAATATTTTAGATTTGGATTAAAATTAAATAATATTATGACTAATGAGTCTACATAAGAATATATCATAATAAAATAATAGCATCGCAGTGGATCAAATAATAGTAAATATTGACATAATAGTACGTGTAGAAATACAATTTTGGAAAAATCCAAATTTTGGATTAAAAACTGAAAAATAATAATAGAGACAAGAATCAACGTAGAAAAAGAAATTTATATGTGAAAATTAGATTAAAAATAAATACTATTAAGGAAAAGAGTGCACATAGAAATACAATTTAGAGATATCTAAATTTGGAACTAGAAAATAAATAGAATAAATTGCACTTTGGGCCACCTTTTATTACCCAAGTTTCACTTTGGACCACCTTTACCTATCTTTTCAATTTGAACTACCCTGAATAACTTTTCTCGCCATGTAGACATACATGGAGGAGATCGCAATGTGTTTAAGGTCATTGGTGTGTAGTGAAAAAAATCATTCGGGGTGGTCCAAACCGCAACAATGACAAACTTACCTGGTTCAAAGTGAGAAGGTAGGTTTAAGCGTGGTCCAGAGTAAAACTTGTGTAATAAAATGTAGCCCAAAGCGTAATTCACTATAATAAATAGAGTGGAGAAATAAGTTTATGTAGGAGTATATAATTTAAAAATAGAGTAAATTTCACTTTGGTCAACCTTTATTTACCAAATTTTCACATTGGACTAGAGTTAAGACTTATATTTTCACTTAACATATATAGTTACCATCATTTGCACTTTGGACCAAGTTTCACAAATTACACATAATATAATGACTGTAGATCTGATCTCATTTCTTTTTTGTGTTAGAAAACTTAGAATTCAATAATTTGTACTAACACTACAGTTGGGTATTATAAAACATGTAATATCTTTTGTAGAAAAATAGTTCTTAAACTCAATATTTCTCCAATTTTGTCTCTATAGTATAAGGGTTGTGAATGTTCATATGTAGTAGTAATGAAGTCCCATTAATCTGATGATAGGATATCCTATAACATTTACAATCATTGTTCTTGTGCTAAGCATATTTGCATGGCAAAGATTTCCATATCATTGTTTCTTGTAAAATGCTAAGCACCTAGACAACAACTCATGTAATGGTAACTATAAAACCAGGTCCAAAGTGCAAACAACGGTAACTATACGTGGTGTTAAGTGAAAACATGAGCCTAGCCCTAGCCCAATGTGAAATTTCGGTCAATAAAGATGGTCCAAAGTAAAATTTACTCTTAAAAGTATTTTAAAATTAGATTAAAAGTAAGTATTATAATTTAAAAATATTTTAAATTTAAGGAAAATAGTTCATGAATGAGGACAACTTTTTTAAATCTAGGTAAATAATATTGAGAGTAGAGTATATTCTTACTTAAATTAATTGGAGGATTTACTAGGAGTGATACATTAATTCTAGAGGGTAATAATACATCGATGTTTTCATTTTAATTGAAAATTCTTTGAATTCACGTGTTAATAAGTTGTATAAAGGCTAGATTGTCTAAGCTGTATAAAATTATAACTACAACAGATGAGAATGGATTGTCCAACCCTATACTAACGTGACAATGAAAAAGTGTTCATAACTTATAAAATACGATATAAAATATTTTATAACTGTTCCACTATGTTATGAACACTTTTTATAACCCGTATATGAACATAAGATATGACATATCATCTTTAGTAGGTATAAGGATATCACTACAGATAGCAAAGAGAAGCCACTAATAATTTAAATTTTTAATGATAGCGAAGATAATGACCTTATGTAGTATTTAATGGTGATCTTCCACCTACCATGGTTTATATCCATGATATTTGCTTTATGGACATAGGACTTACATTAACAATCAGATATCAGACATATAAAATCATATTGGTCAAGTTATGCAGTATCCTAATGCTGTTAAAATCATATTGCTGTTTCTAATATTTTTTAATAATAAAATGTGAAAGTATATGTGCTATTATGAGAAAGATTATAGCAATGCTAACCAGTGGCGATTCTAGCATGTAGGCTCCATCAGGCTCTAGCCTACCCTCCAATTTTTGCAAAAAAAATTTAAGTATATAGCATCTCTTCCATGGAAACAGCTGGAGAAGGCAGGAAGAAGAGAAGAGGCGAAGAACTCCGTCTCTGGCGGCGAGGAAGAAGAACAGGAGCCATGGAAGTCATGTAGCTAAACCGGTACGCGTAAAATGGCCCATTTATCACTTTAGCAAAAGCCCACTTGGCCCATTGTGTCTGTTTTGTCTTGGCTTAGGGTTTTGGAGTTTGGACCGTGTGGCTGCTAACCTTTGCCCTGTGGGGATTTTTCGTGGCGCTGCGGCGGCGTGCGATTGCGGCCGCGTGGCAGCTGCGGGCGACGAGCGATTGCGGCAGCGGCACAGCCGCACAGCGCAAGCGGCAAAGCCGACAAGGCGCAAGCTGCAAGGGGAAGGGGCCTGCGCGCGGCGGCGCGGGCGCACGGCTGGTGGCCCCGCGGCAGCAAGCGCAGAGCAGCACAGCAGGCCGCCGGAGTTGCTTGCCTGCTACTGCTCGGCTTGCTACTTGGCTGCTTCCAGTGAGTCTCTAAGTGACAGAGTGAGTAAGCTATACTGTTCTTTACTTCATTGTTATTTGTTACTACTTGTTAGTGAGTACTAACTCGTGGCAAGTGAGGGGATTTATCATTTACATTTCCTAATATTTGATTTGTTGGTAGATTTGTAATAGAGATATTTAAAAGTATCAATGATAATGTAATCATGAAGCGATTCCAAGCCCTGAAAACCTGTAAAGTATCCTGTAAAGTATCCTTGCCTCGTGAACAAAATGCAACAACTTAGCAGTATGTTGCTTTCTTTAGTTAATATTTGTTTACTTCTACCATTTATGCATTACTAACTTTGCTCATTTATATATCCAGGAGGCTTCTCACTTAACTCTTTGCTAAGATCTAAGAAAATTAGCAACTTACTGGTAAGTCAAGTTACTTCTTTTATAACTATGTTTTTCTATTTAATCATGTAAGTGTAACATTTGACTTGATAATGGTGTATGCCTCATATTAGCATTGTTAACTTAGACTTAAGACTTTCAGTCCAGCCTACCCTCAATTTTTATCCTGGATTCGACGATGCTAACCACCCAATCTGTATTGAAGATGCAGAGCACAATCTCCAGTCAAAATCGTACAGTGTAGGAAGCCACTGCACGCAAACTGCCGCTATAGGTAATTAAATGCTAGAAAACGGAGTTAAGGAAAACTGACTGAACAAGAAATAGTAACTTACCCCCTCCTTGGAGAGATCATGGCGACGATCTATCTGAAGAATAGAAACAGGGCGACAAATTATTTTCATCGATATCATTGCCGTCGCCGTTGTTCTATACAATATCGTAAAAAACACCACCAGACAGGACAGACTTTACTCCCCTTGGAGATCAGAACCCCGTCCGCCGGTGATATCACTGACGCCGGTAGATCGATCTCGCCCGACCGCCGTTAGTTCATCTCGATCTCGAACATGGGAACTGTTCGACGGCGATATCACTGACGCCGGTAGATCGATCTGGCCTGTGGCGGGTAACTGCGGCATCGATCTCACCCATTGCTATTGACAGCAGAAAGAGATCCATGGATATCGCCGGCCGTTGTGGTAACATTAAAAAACATACTCGAAAACTGAAAAAAAGAACAGTAACGTACCAGGTCAGATCCGGTTCAATGGGACGAACCGCAGCCAGACTACTTCCGCCGTGCTTCTATGGAACGAACCACCGCCAGACTATTTTTTTTCTCTCCCATGGAAGCAGCCCCCGGCCGGCAGGTTCCATAGGAACAGATAGACGGAGAGGCCCCTGACCAACGCTGCATCGATAAATCTTGCTCGTAGCTATTGACAGGGACAGATCCAATGTCTCACCTGCTGGAAGATATTCTTCGACAAAGGAGGAGGAGTTCATGGAGGGAAGCCCGTGTTCTGTGTCGCGTATGGAGAAGACGATGGGTTTAGGTCAAAGAAAATCGACAAGGGATGAGAACAAAGCGATGAGGCGTGAGAAGGTGAGAGAGTCTCCTCCTCATCATCATCATTATTATAAAGGCCGTGTGGTAGAGGCGTGGGGAATGAATGCGCCACCTTAATCGGTGTTAATGCGAACGCGTACTGACCCGTTCGATCGGCCCGTCTGGATACGTGTCGTGCAGCTTTTTTTTCATATAGAGTCACCCGTGCATTGGCGCCGTCACGCACTCACGTCCCTCTCAAGTAGTAAGGCTGTGTTTACATCCCTTGAAACTTTAAAAAATCCAAATATTTGTACATATATATATATATATATATATATATATGAAGTATTAAATGTGGACTTCTAAAAAATTCCGTCACATCAAATATTTGGATACATGTATGGAGCAATAAATGTGAA